CCTGGGTGAGCTGACAAGCTATCTTGGCTTGCGGATCACCCGGGACAGAGCACAGCGCACCATCACCTTGACTCAGTCACACATGGTGCAGCAGGTCCTTCAGCGCTTCCGCTTCACGTACTCCTCGCCTCAGTCCACTCTTCTGCCTACCGGTCACTCGCTCTCAGCTCTGCCTTCGAATGAGTCCGTAGAGCCGAGTGGCCCGTATCCAGAGCTTGTGGGCTGCCTCATGTACCTGATGACCTGCACTCGACCTGACCTTGCATACCCTCTTAGCATCCTAGCACGCTATGTCGCTCCTGGCCGTCACCAGAAGGAGCACATGGATGCCGCTAAGAGGGTGTTGCGCTACTTGTGCAGTACGTCGGGCATGGGGCTTGTGCTTGGAGGACGGCGCGACGTTGTCCTCACTGGACACTCAGACGCTTCTTGGGCTGACGACCAGGCTACACAGCGGTCGTCTCAGGGTTACACCTTCAGCCTTGGCTCTGGCTCAGTTTCTTGGCGTTCTACACGCTCTTCCTCTGTTCTCAGCTCCAGTTGTGAGGCTGAGATCTACGCCACAGCCATGGCTGCCCAGGAGCTTCGCTGGCTCACCTACCTGCTGACCGACCTGGGAGAGCGGCCTCGTTCTCCTCCAGTGCTGTACGTCGACAACAAGGCCGCCCTTGCCTTGTGTCAGGAGCACAGACTGGAGCACAGAACGAAGCACATCGCTCTGCGCTACTTCCTTGCTCGAGAGCTGCAGCAGCGTGGTCAGCTTCGTCTTTCGTACGTGGCCACTCGGGCCAACACTGCTGATGTGTTCACCAAGGCGCTTCAGCCTTGTGATCATCAGCGTTTCTGTACTGTTCTAGGCCTTGTGCCTACTGTCCCTCACTTGCTCACTTCTTGACTTTGCTTGTACTGTGATCTCTATATATATACCTGCATGCTTACACTTGCTAGGTTGTGATCACTGTACCTCTTGTTTATTATCAAACTGCATGTGAACTGGTCTTGTGACCGCTTGCTTGTGCTCGGAATTTGTGTGGTATCCTTGAGATCCACCCTGAGCTTTGCTTTGCTTTGCTTTGCTTTGACTGGTCTTGTGACCCTCTGGTTGTCTCCCACTTCGCCTATGGGGGTGTGTCAAACATTGTATGTTTACATTGTGTAGGCTATAGTGGGTTTAGCCTTAGGGGGTACACAAACTTAGGGTTTCCTACTTGTACCCAACTTTGTGCTAGTTCATTCATTCCTGTTTCTTTGATTCTGACAACTGCTACTTGTGTGTGCTGCCTGACCCCGGTATAGCCCCAGGTATAGCGCCTGTGGCACTAGGTGCTTGTGAGTCTACTCCTCCTGGTACTGCGTCCGCACAGGCCTTGCACACCTTCACACTTGACTCTGGTGCTTCCCGCTGTTTCTTTCGCGACAGCACCACAGTCACTCCCCTCCCTGCACCTGTTCCTGTCTCACTGGCTGACCCCTCTGGGGGCCCAGTGCTTGCACGGTTTTCCACTGTGCTTCCGTGTCCGGCGGTCCCGTCTGGTGAGCTGTCTGGTCTCCACCTCACCTCGTTCTCTACGAACTTGGTGAGCAACGCCGTCCTTCAGGATCACTGGGTTGACACCTTTACTCCTGGAGGACAGCGTGTGGCGATCTGCACGTGCTCCGGGACCGGCCGTCACCTGGCCATGTTCACACGTGCGCCTGGGTCTAGTCTGTACACCCTCACCACTGCGTCGCGCTCCACCCCTTTGTCTCCCCAGCTGTACGCGTCTGCTCAGGTAGCTACCCAGTGTGAGTGTCGCCGGCTGTCTCACGACACTCTCCTGTGGCACCACCGCCTTGGTCACCCCTCCCTGCCTCGCCTTCGTAGCATGCACTCTCGCTTCCTGGTCTCTGGACTTCCCAGGTCTCTGCCTGCCCTCCCTCCCTCGCCTGCGCCGCCCTGCATTCCTTGCGTCGAGGGGCGGCAGCGCGCCGCTCCTCACTCCTCCTCGTTCCCTCCCACAGAGGCTCCACTGCAGACTCTCCACCTGGACGTGTGGGGCCCAGCCCGCGTCCGTGGACAGGGCCACGAGCGGTACTTCCTGCTGGTCGTCGACGACTACACGCGTTACACCACGGTCTTCCCCTTGCAGCGCAAGGGGGAGGTCCCTGATGTTTTGATCCCCTGGATCCGCGCTGTTCGTCTCCAGCTCCGCGAGCGGTTCCAGTCGGACTTTCCTGTCCTGCGTCTGCACTCTGACAGGGGTGGTGAGTTCTCCTCAGACCTCTTGGCAGCCTTCTATGCGGAGCACGGCATCCGCCAGACGTTCACGCTTCCGGCCTCTCCGCAGCAGAATGGGATTGCTGAGCGCCGCATTGGCTTAGTCATGGAGGTCGCTCGTACCTCCATGATCCATGCGGCTGCCCCCCATTTTCTGTGGCCGTTTGCGGTCCGGTACGCCGCGCATCAGCTCAACCTCTGGCCCCGTGTCTCCTTGCCGGAGACCTCGCCCACACTGCTGTGGACGGGGAAGGTTGGAGATGCGTCGCGTTTCCGGGTCTGGGGTGAGATACCACCGCGGACAAGCTCTCCGCTCGCGCCATTCCCTGCGTCTTCCTTGGCTTTGTCCCTGACGCGCCTGGCTGGCAGTTTTACGACCCCGCCTCGCGCCGTGTCTTTCCGTCTCAGGACGTCACCTTTGACGAGTCCGTCCCCTTTTACCGTCTCTTTCCCTACCGCACTGCCCCTCGCCCCCCCCCGCCGCTCTTTCTCGCCCCAGGTCCTCCCCAGGTAGACCCCCTCCCCGCGCCAGGTCCTGCTCCTTCAGGTGTTTCTCAGGTAGACCCTCCCGTGCCTGCGCCTGTTGAGGTCACTGGTGACTCAGGTCCTGCTGGGGGTGGTGCTGTCTTTGGGGGTGCTGGGCCTGGGGATGCGGAGCTTGGGGGTGCTGAGCCTGGGGGTGCGGAGCTTGGGGTTGCTGAGCCTGGGGGTGCGGAGCCTGCGCGTGAGGACCCAGGAGGTGCTGAGCCGGGGGGTGCGGAGTCTGGGGGCGCTGAGCCTGAGCGTGAGGAGCCTGGAGGTCCTGAGCCTGGGGGTGCTGTGTCTGGAGGTGCTGAGCCCGAGCGTGAGGAGCCTGGCGGTACTGAGTCTGGGGGTGCGACGCCTGAGGGTTCTGAGTCTGCTGCTGCGCGGTCTCCTTGGAGTAGCCGCCTTCGTCCGCGTGTGCCTCTCACCTCACAGCAGCTGCACGACTGGTACGGTCGCCGTCAGGGTCGCGCTTCTGGAGCTCGGGGCTCTGCCGCTGGAGGTACTTCTGCTGACGTCACTGGAGCTGGGAGTGGTGCTGGTCCCGGAGGTGCTCGTACTGGAGGTGCTGGAGCTGCTGGGGCTGGAGGTGCTGCTGAGCCTGAGGGTGCTACTGCTGGAGACCCTGGGTCAGAGGGTGCTGCTGCTGGAGACACTGGGGCTGGAGACCCTGGGACTGGGGGTGCCGGTTCTGGGGATGCTGCTGCTGGTGGAGCTGGTCCTGGAGGAGCTGGCGCTGAGTGTTCTGGAGCTGCTGGAGGTGCTGGAGCTGCTGGGGGTACTGGAGCTGCTGGTGCTGGTGGCACTGCACAGCCGCGCCTGTTATTCGCTCCACCGTCTCCGTCGTCTCAGCCACCGCCTGACTCTGTACTTCGCCAGGTTCTTAGTCTCCCTTCGTCTACTGGTCTTCCGTTACAGCCTGGCTCACCGCTGCCTGCTCCTTCTCCTTACGCTGAGCAGACAGGGGGTCTTACTGAGCGTCGTGAGCCTGCGTCGCGTCCTGTCTCGCCTGTCTGTTCTGGTCGTTCCGGTCGTCGTGTTCCTCGTCCGCGTCAGTCGGCTGTCCCCGGCACCCACCTCGTAGTCCGTCGTCCACCTGGATGCGAAACGGAATACTGACTGGGTCGTTTTGTGGGGTGGGGATGAGGGGAGCAGCTGAAGAAGCTAGTACACAGGAGATGAAAATGGAATCAGTGTTTTCGTGCAGCGGGGAGAATGGGCGAATGTGGGTCTGATTTACAAGGTGGGGTGTCAGCTAGGCCTGTCAAAGATCTCTCTGGTGGGACATTTGCTGAAGGTTTGTCTTAGGCTTTCTACTCGACGCCTTCGTAGTTTTTTGGGGAGATCTGGCAGGATTTGCTGCTTGTTTGCTCCTTGGAAATGTATTTTTTTTATGCTCCATGTGTAACGTGCTGAACTAGCGGAGCACTCACGCTCAAGTGACCTCAAATGTCACCTGGCACATCCTGTGGGAACTTTCAGGGTTCAGGGTGGCATCCCAACCAAGAGCACGATAAAAACAAAAAAAATATCACGGTAGTAGCAATATAACGAAACATGCTGGCGCTTAGTACGACCAAGGTCGACAGTAGCATGCAAAAGGCCGTAGACCAAGAGTTCAATACATCGGTTCTCCCATAGACCGCACGGTAGCAGCAGGGGCTAGATGAGTGGTATGAGTCCATCAGGCTGTGAACTTGCCCCCAGGTGTCCCTGGCTTGATGGGGCGATGCGGCCTTGGTGCTGGTGGGAGAGGGAGAGGGGAGAGGGGAGGGGGAGAGGGAGAGGGAGAGGGGAGAGGGAGAGGGAGAGGGAGAGGGAGAGGGGAGAGGGGAGAGGGGAGAGGGGAGAGGGGAGAGGGGAGAGGGGAGAGGGGAGAGGGGAGAGGGGAGGGGAGAGGGGAGAGGGGAGAGGGGAGAGAGGGGAGAGGGGAGAGGGGAGAGGGGAGAGGGGAGGGGAGAGGGGAGAGGGGAGAGGGGAGAGGGGAGAGGGGAGGGGAGAGGGGAGAGGGGAGAGAGGGGAGAGGGGAGAGGGGAGAGGGGAGAGGGGAGGGGGTAGATGGAGACGGGAAGGGGAAGATAAAGAGGATGGCACGTGCAAATGGGGAATGGGACAGCTTTGGATAGGTGAAACGGTGGGACGAGTCTGGTGAGAACTAATGGGTGGGAACCAATGGGCGGGAAACAGCAACGGCAGATTGGTGAGGGGAGTGACTGACCATTGGGGTTGCCCTGCTCGTAGAAGCGTCTGAAGAGGTCCACTGCTTCGCTGGCCAGTATGCCCCCCTCGCACTGTAGCTGGCTGCCTGCCATGACCGTGCTGCTGCTGCTGGTGGGTGCGGGGAGGGGAAGAGCGGAGCAGGGACAGCTGACCGTTGGGGTTGCCTTGGTCGTAGAAGCGCCTGAAGAGGTCCACTGCCTCGCCGGCCAGTATGCCCCCCTCGCACTGCAGCTCTGTGCCCTGTGCTCCCGGGCTGCTGGTGGGCGGGGGGACGGGGAGGAGAGAAGAGGGCGGAGGGGAGGTGCGGAGGAAGGGAGGAGGGGAGGGGTGGATGGTAGGAAGGAAGGGGACGGGTTAGGAGGGGAGAAGGGGGAGGAAACAGAGGTAATGATAGTAGACGGAAGGTAGCAGTGGGAAGGTGCGGAACCAGCATGGCACACGAGTGCTTGCATGGCAGTGGGTGGCGTGAAGTGAGACGGCTGTTAGGCGCCTGAAAGATCATGGCTTGGGAGTGCTGACGGTGTGGGGGGCGGTGGTGCGAGTGAGGGTAATGAGATAGCAGAGCATCGATAACAGTGAGAGGAGCAGCGTGACTGTGGGGAGAGAGAGGAAGAGGGGTCCGACTGCAAGGGTGTGTGAGGAAGGGCGAATAGGGGAAGAAAGGAGAAGATCAAAGCTGATGATCACATGCAGTCAGCTCGTTGCATGAGTTGGTGTGAAAGAAGGCAGGGGGAGTGAGGTGTGAGGCATGAGTTGGTGTGGGAAAGAAGAACGTAAAAGGGAGGGGGGAGTGGGTTGCGGAAGGCAGGAGCAGGCAGGTGGGGTAGTGCAAAAGGTGGGCGGGGCAGGGGTTGTAGCGTAGCGTACAAGGGCGGGCAGGGGCGGCATCCTTTGGCGTGTACTGATAGCACGGATCCACAACCGCCAAAGCGGTCGTTGGGACAGCCGTAGAACACACGGGTGAGCCCTGAGGGTGGAGGGGGGAAGGGGAGGGAGGGGAGGAGGTGGGAGGGGAGCAGGGAGGGGGGGGGGGAGGAAGGGGGAGGAAGGGAGGGAGGGGAAGAAACACGCAGTGAGGGAGGAAGTTGGAACACTGAAGCATTCAAATAATTAAATGACAGGGTTGGTATGCAGAGGGGAGTTGGATTGGGAGGTGGGGTGGGGGCGAGCGGAAACAAGGGGGGAGAGTAAGGGCGGTTAAGACAGCTGGAGGGCAGACGCGGATGCCTGGGGAAAAGGGGTGGGAGGCTGGGGGGGGGAAGACGGGGGACGGAGGAGAATGGGGAGAAAAAGGGGGGAAAGAGGAAGGAGGCGGAACGGGATGAGGCGAAGGGGGAGGATGCAGGAAGGGGGAGGAGGCGGGAAGGGGGAGGAGGCGGGAAGGGGGAAGAGGCGGGAAGGGGGAAGAGGCGGGAAGGGGGAAGAGGCGGGAAGGGGGAAGAGGCGGGAAGGGGGAAGAGGCGGGAAGGGGGAAGGCGGGAAGGGAGTGGAGAGGTTGTGAGACAGAGGGGACGGAGGTCACGGGGATAAACAGCTGAAGATCGCATGGAAGAAAGGCCATGCAGGGGTGGGGGAGGGGAGGGGAGGAGAGAGAGGGGAAGGGGAGGGGAGGTAAAAGAGAATGGAAGAAAAAGGTGGACACTATTTCAGTAGAAAACGGGGCTATGATGCAAGAAACGCAGTAATTGCTGGCTCTGTCCCCCCCCTCCCACCCCTCCCACCCCTCCCACCCCTCCCACCCCTCCCACCCGTCCTACCCATCCCACCCATCCCACCCATCCCACCCATCCTGTCCATCGTACCCAGCAGGGAGAGGGCACCAGCGCACATGATGCAGGGCTCACATGTCACAAACAGCTCGCTCTCCCCCACCACCTGCAGCAACCGACCGTACCGCTCCTCCTCATCCCTCCCGTCCTCCCCGTCGTCTCTCTCTCGCCCCTGCCGCTCCTCTGCCTCGTCCTCTCCCTCTCTCCCAGTCGTTCTCTCTATCTCTTTCTCCTCCTGCCCATCCTCCCTTTCTGCTATATCCCGCCCTTCCTCTAATCTCTCCCTCTCTCTCTCCCCAGCTGATCCCTGGCTGCCACGTGTCTCTGTGCCATTCGCTGCACCGTTCGTTGATGCTGCTCTTGGTGGGTCAATCGCCCCTAAGCATTCGTTAACCTGCCCGGGAGAAAGAGATTCCAGCAGCGAATCAACGGCCTCCATCTCAGCATGACGGGTTGCCTGACAAAAAAGAAAACAAAAAAAAACAAACAAACAAAGACCACAGGTTCTTTAAGAGCGTGTATCGTGCTGCGCCGTCCAAAGGCTTGGCCCTTGTTGCGGATTGTTGAAGGGCTACCTATCGTACTTGGTAAGGTGGTGGTTGAATCTTGGACGAGCGAAGGGACTGAGGTGTGAAGAGGTAGTAACGTTCAGGGGACAAGAGAGGAGAGAGAAGAGGAGCGAGGAGAGGAGAGGGGAAGAGAGTAGAGGCGAGGAGAGGAGAGGAGAGGGAAGAGGAGAGAGGAAAGGGGAGGGAAGGAAAGGAGAGGAGAGGAGAGGAGAGGAGAGGAGAGGAGAGGAGAGGAGAGGAGAGGAGAGGAGAGGAGGAGACGCACGTTTCTGGTTTCGTTGGTTCTATTGCTGCCTGCTGCTACGACTTTATTGTTGTGCACTATCACACAGCTGCAGGGAAACGGGTAAAAGAGAGAAAGAAGGAAATAAGGAAAGAAGGAAAGAAGGAAAGGAGGAAAGAAGGAAAGAAGGAAAGAAGGAAAGAAGGAACGAAGGAAAGAAGGAAAGAGGGAAAGAAGGAAAGAAGGAAAGAAGGAAAGAAGGAAAGAGGGAAAGAAGGAAAGAGGGAAAGAAGGAAAGAAGGAAAGAAGGAAAGACAAATACACAAGAGAACCGAGACAAGGAAGCGTTATCAGGGGGTAAGGTACATGAACATATGAACATACGAGGAGTGGGGATGGATGGAGAAAGTGGGGGTGGGAGGGCGGTTGAGGGGGACAGGGGGGAAGGGGGAAGGAACAAGCAGGAAGGGAAGCGAAAGTCGTGCAAGGGAGAGAGAGAAAACGATGGGAACAGGGACGGGTAAAGGAGATTGGAGGAAGGGGAAGGGGGCAGGCCGCAGGGGAGAGGGGGGAGAGAGGGGATAGGGGATGGGGGAGGGGTGGGGGATTGGTGAAGGGAGGCAGGGAGTGCGAGGCTGTTCTCACCCCACAGGGACTTCTAGTCTCGTCAGTGCAGCCTCCGCCTTTCCTTGCACGCACACACCGGCACGAGGGCACGAGGAGACGAGGAGACGAGGAGAGGAGCGCAGGAGGGCACGAGGGCATGAAGGCAGGACAGGAGGGCACGGGCGTATGGGAGGAGTATGGACACGCACCAGCATGCAACACGTCAGATGGCAGTTAGAGAGGAACAGGGGAGAACGAGGTGCGGAGGGAGGCGAATCACGAGCAGGGCGGCTGGTGATATCCGACAGAGGGACGAGAGAATCGGAGCGGAGGGGAGAAGGGGGGACGGTGGAATGGGGAGGGAGCTGCGAGGCGGGAGAGGGGGAAGGGGGGGGGGGAGAGGAGCGGAATGGGGCGGGGGGGGTGGACGATGGAGCAGCGCAGAGGAGAGCAGCGCGGAGCGGGAGGACATGTGCAATAGCTGAGAGGAGCGGGAGAGCAAAGAGTGCCACGTCATGCACCTGCGCGATGGCGAGGCGCATGAAGTGGACTCTCCTCTCGCGCTCCGAGGCAAACGGCGCGAATGCCGCCGCGTCTCCCGCCATGGCGCAAGGGGAAGCTGCGCTGAAGATCGAGATCGAATCCATCAGAAAGTTTGTGGGCCAGCCTCAGACAGCCCTCCAGGCAAACCGAATTCCGAGGAGCAGCACGTCCCAAAGAAAATATCGGAAAAACAATCATTTTAGATTCGTCAGGGATTCAACAAACCATCTCTGTGAAACTAAGAATGATCATTACCATGGGCATTTCTAGAGCAAGGGGCGGCAATGTCTAGACATGCTTTGCGGAAACTCGGCAAACAATCTCTAGGGTTTCACCTAACTTGACAAGTGCTATGCTGCGGGATTGCTTCCGGAATGAACAGTGACGATCACTCCTGGCTTTGCGATACACGCGTAGATTCGCGTTACCAGTGTTTTGGTTCGTTTGCTCTATAACAAACTCAAGTTTACCGATTCTAACTAATAAGTGACACAATCGGACAGTCACACCCCAATAGCCGAGGTGATTGTAGGCATTATCTCTGATAAGTACACGGAACCCAAACGTTACTCGCTAAACATAAATTGCATACTGTAAATATTCCGCTGTAGCGAGCGGACATAAACCCAGCAAAACCCTATGACAAAAAATCAGATGGCTACAGTGAAAGTACACTACCAAAACTACGGGTTTATCTCCACCTTCATATTTTGCAACAGATGCATAATAATCCCTAAAGGTTCTCATGCCACAATAATGAGTACCCTATATAAATGAATGTTAAGATTAGTTGGGGGCCTCCTAAATATATAAATATATATGTAGCCCGTACATAGATATCATAATGCGACTCCAGGCTACTAATACATATATTTAAAGCTGCGCGCAAATCAGCTCAGCCTACACACGGCCTGTCAGAATGTTATTCTCTAGCCTGTAGTGGGGTGCTCTATAGCGAGTACAACCCATCTAGGGTTTGCTATATGTATCCTCATTGCTGCTAGTGAACTCCTCCTCTTTTGCCTAAACTTCTCTTGCCTAGCTAGGACTTACCTAGCTATGGCTCCTAACTCTACCTACTATTTTCTCATGGTATCAGAGCATCTACGCTCCTGGCCTGTGGGCCCACCTAACTGCTTCCGCTGCTACTCTGTGTGTTGCACGCCCCGTGGCGTGCGACGGATTTCTCTTCCCGCCGCGCGCTCGGAGCGTGCGGCGGTTTTCTGCCCGCCGTGCGCCCCGAGGCGCGCGGCGGTTTTCTGCCCGCCGTGCGCCCCGGGGCGTGCGGCGGTTCTCTGCCCGCCGTGCGCCCCGAGGCGCGCGGCGGCCTTCTGCCCCGTCGGTCCGCGCGTCGCCCCCGGGGGGCGCTTCGACGGGCGACGGGGACCAGCCCGTCGTCCCCCGTCGCCCGTCCTGGCCAGCGCGGGCTGCGCTAGCCCCGAGCGCGGCCCGTACGGGCTGCGCCCGGCCCGCGCGCGGCCCGTACGGGCTGCGCCAGGCCCGCGCGCGGCCCGTACGGGCTGCGCCAGGCCCGCGCGCGGCTCGGGCCGCCTGCGCGCGGTTCGTCGGGCTGTGCCAGGCCCGTGGGCGGCCCGTTCCTCTCTGTCCCTGAGCTGTTCGCTGTCCCCCGTGCTTCTGACGGTGCCCCACCCCTGCTGCTGCCCGTTCTCCTGAATTAGGGTTTGGGGGTGAGGAGTGTGGGGGTGGCGGTTGTGTGTTACTCCCCTTGCTCCTCCTCCTCCCTGGTCTCCCACTGCTGCAGCTGCCGCTGAGGGGGGTGGGTGTGTGGGAGCCTAGGGTTTAGGGTTTTAGGGGGGTGCGTGGGAGTGGAGCTAGGGTTTGAGCAGTGGGTGTGTGTCGAGGGTGTGGGGCAGTTGGAGGAGGTTGTGTGGAGGTACCTGTCGTGTCGCCTGCAGCGCCTGTAGTCCGTCGCCCTTGCTTCGGTAGCCAGTGAGCCTGCTGCACCAGTCGCCAGTGGGTCCGTTGCTCCTGCCGCTCTTCTATAGCCGCCGAGCCAGTTACTCCAGTAGTCCGTCGCCCTTGCTTCGGTAGCCTCTGAGTCAGCCGCTCCTGTGCCCGTGCCTCTGCAGCTTCAGTCGTTGCCTCCCATCTTCTCTACCTCCACAGCTCCTCCTCCTCCTCCTCACTTGCCCGCTGTGATTAGCTCTAGCTTTGCTTATCTTTGTGAACTCCTGCTCTATACCTGCTTGCTCATTGTACTGATTACACCCCACTTTGTGTGAAGATGAGCAGTAGAAGAAGGCGCCAAAGAGGCGCTCCTCACTCCTCCTCGTTCCGCTCCTCACTCCTCGTTCCCTCCCACAGAGGCTCCACTGCAGACTCTCCACCTGGACGTGTGGGGCCCAGCCCGCGTCCGTGGACAGGGCCACGAGCGGTACTTCCTGCTGGTCGTCGACGACTACACGCGTTACACCACGGTCTTCCCCTTGCAGCGCAAGGGGGAGGTCCCTGATGTTTTGATCCCCTGGATCCGCGCTGTTCGTCTCCAGCTCCGCGAGCGGTTCCAGTCGGACTTTCCTGTCCTGCGTCTGCACTCTGACAGGGGTGGTGAGTTCTCCTCAGACCTCTTGGCAGCCTTCTATGCGGAGCACGGCATCCGCCAGACGTTCACGCTTCCGGCCTCTCCGCAGCAGAATGGGATTGCTGAGCGCCGCATTGGCTTAGTCATGGAGGTCGCTCGTACCTCCATGATCCATGCGGCTGCCCCCCATTTTCTGTGGCCGTTTGCGGTCCGGTACGCCGCGCATCAGCTCAACCTCTGGCCCCGTGTCTCCTTGCCGGAGACCTCGCCCACACTGCTGTGGACGGGGAAGGTTGGAGATGCGTCGCGTTTCCGGGTCTGGGGTGAGATACCACCGCGGACAAGCTCTCCGCTCGCGCCATTCCCTGCGTCTTCCTTGGCTTTGTCCCTGACGCGCCTGGCTGGCAGTTTTACGACCCCGCCTCGCGCCGTGTCTTTCCGTCTCAGGACGTCACCTTTGACGAGTCCGTCCCCTTTTACCGTCTCTTTCCCTACCGCACTGCCCCTCGCCCCCCCCCGCCACTCTTTCTCGCCCCAGGTCCTCCCCAGGTAGACCCCCTCCCCGCGCCAGGTCGTGCTCCTTCAGGTGTTTCTCAGGTAGACCCTCCCGTGCCTGCGCCTGTTGAGGTCACTGGTGACTCAGGTCCTGCTGGGGGTGGTGCTGTCTTTGGGGGTGCTGGGCCTGGGGATGCGGAGCTTGGGGGTGCTGAGCCTGGGCGTGCGGAGCTTGGGGTTGCTGAGCCTGGGGGTGCGGAGCCTGCGCGTGAGGACCCAGGAGGTGCTGAGCCGGGGGGTGCGGAGTCTGGGGGCGCTGAGCCTGAGCGTGAGGAGCCTGGAGGTCCTGAGCCTGGGGGTGCTGTGTCTGGAGGTGCTGAGCCCGAGCGTGAGGAGCCTGGCGGTACTGAGTCTGGGGGTGCGACGCCTGAGGGTTCTGAGTCTGCTGCTGCGCGGTCTCCTTGGAGTAGCCGCCTTCGTCCGCGTGTGCCTCTCACCTCACAGCAGCTGCACGACTGGTACGGTCGCCGTCAGGGTCGCGCTTCTGGAGCTCGGGGCTCTGCCGCTGGAGGTACTTCTGCTGACGTCACTGGAGCTGGGAGTGGTGCTGGTCCCAGAGGTGCTCGTACTGGAGGTGCTGGAGCTGCTGGGGCTGGAGGTGCTGCTGAGCCTGAGGGTGCTACTGCTGGAGACCCTGGGTCAGAGGGTGCTGCTGCTAGAGACACTGGGGCTGGAGACCCTGGGACTGGGGGTGCCGGTTCTGGGGATGCTGCTGCTGGTGGAGCTGGTCCTGGAGGAGCTGGCGCTGAGTGTTCTGGAGCTGCTGGAGGTGCTGGAGCTGCTGGGGGTACTGGAGCTGCTGGTGCTGGTGGCACTGCACAGCCGCGCCTGTTATTCGCTCCACCGTCTCCGTCGTCTCAGCCACCGCCTGACTCTGTACTTCGCCAGGTTCTTAGTCTCCCTTCGTCTACTGGTCTTCCGTTACAGCCTGGCTCACCGCTGCCTGCTCCTTCTCCTTACGCTGAGCAGACAGGGGGTCTTACTGAGCGTCGTGAGCCTGCGTCGCGTCCTGTCTCGCCTGTCTGTTCTGGTCGTTCCGGTCGTCGTGTTCCTCGTCCGCGTCAGTCGGCTGTCCCCGGCACCCACCTCGTAGTCCGTCGTCCACCTGGATGCGAAACGGAATACTGACTGGGTCGTTTTGTGGGGTGGGGATGAGGGGAGCAGCTGAAGAAGCTAGTACACAGGAGATGAAAATGGAATCAGTGTTTTCGTGCAGCGGGGAGAATGGGCGAATGTGGGTCTGATTTACAAGGTGGGGTGTCAGCTAGGCCTGTCAAAGATCTCTCTGGTGGGACATTTGCTGAAGGTTTGTCTTAGGCTTTCTACTCGACGCCTTCGTAGTTTTTTGGGGAGATCTGGCGGGATTTGCTGCTTGTTTGCTCCTTGGAAATGTATTTTTTTTATGCTCCATGTGTAACGTGCTGAACTAGCGGAGCACTCACGCTCAAGTGACCTCAAATGTCACCTGGCACATCCTGTGGGAACTTTCAGGGTTCAGGGTGGCATCCCAACCAAGAGCACGATAAAAACAAAAAAAATATCACGGTAGTAGCAATATAACGAAACATGCTGGCGCTTAGTACGACCAAGGTCGACAGTAGCATGCAAAAGGCCGTAGACCAAGAGTTCAATACATCGGTTCTCCCATAGACCGCACGGTAGCAGCAGGGGCTAGATGAGTGGTATGAGTCCATCAGGCTGTGAACTTGCCCCCAGGTGTCCCTGGCTTGATGGGGCGATGCGGCCTTGGTGCTGGTGGGAGAGGGAGAGGGGAGAGGGGAGGGGGAGAGGGAGAGGGAGAGGGGAGAGGGAGAGGGAGAGGGAGAGGGGAGAGGGGAGAGGGGAGAGGGGAGAGGGGAGAGGGGAGAGGGGAGGGGAGAGGGGAGAGGGGAGAGGGGAGAGAGGGGAGAGGGGAGAGGGGAGAGGGGAGAGGGGAGGGGAGAGGGGAGAGGGGAGAGGGGAGAGGGGAGAGGGGAGGGGAGAGGGGAGAGGGGAGAGAGGGGAGAGGGGAGAGGGGAGAGGGGAGAGGGGAGGGGGTAGATGGAGACGGGAAGGGGAAGATAAAGAGGATGGCACGTGCAAATGGGGAATGGGACAGCTTTGGATAGGTGAAACGGTGGGACGAGTCTGGTGAGAACTAATGGGTGGGAACCAATGGGCGGGAAACAGCAACGGCAGATTGGTGAGGGGAGTGACTGACCATTGGGGTTGCCCTGCTCGTAGAAGCGTCTGAAGAGGTCCACTGCTTCGCTGGCCAGTATGCCCCCCTCGCACTGTAGCTGGCTGCCTGCCATGACCGTGCTGCTGCTGCTGGTGGGTGCGGGGAGGGGAAGAGCGGAGCAGGGACAGCTGACCGTTGGGGTTGCCTTGGTCGTAGAAGCGCCTGAAGAGGTCCACTGCCTCGCCGGCCAGTATGCCCCCCTCGCACTGCAGCTCTGTGCCCTGTGCTCCCGGGCTGCTGGTGGGCGGGGGGACGGGGAGGAGAGAAGAGGGCGGAGGGGAGGTGCGGAGGAAGGGAGGAGGGGAGGGGTGGATGGTAGGAAGGAAGGGGACGGGTTAGGAGGGGAGAAGGGGGAGGAAACAGAGGTAATGATAGTAGACGGAAGGTAGCAGTGGGAAGGTGCGGAACCAGCATGGCACACGAGTGCTTGCATGGCAGTGGGTGGCGTGAAGTGAGACGGCTGTTAGGCGCCTGAAAGATCATGGCTTGGGAGTGCTGACGGTGTGGGGGGCGGTGGTGCGAGTGAGGGTAATGAGATAGCAGAGCATCGATAACAGTGAGAGGAGCAGCGTGACTGTGGGGAGAGAGAGGAAGAGGGGTCCGACTGCAAGGGTGTGTGAGGAAGGGCGAATAGGGGAAGAAAGGAGAAGATCAAAGCTGATGATCACATGCAGTCAGCTCGTTGCATGAGTTGGTGTGAAAGAAGGCAGGGGGAGTGAGGTGTGAGGCATGAGTTGGTGTGGGAAAGAAGAACGTAAAAGGGAGGGGGGAGTGGGTTGCGGAAGGCAGGAGCAGGCAGGTGGGGTAGTGCAAAAGGTGGGCGGGGCAGGGGTTGTAGCGTAGCGTACAAGGGCGGGCAGGGGCGGCATCCTTTGGCGTGTACTGATAGCACGGATCCACAACCGCCAAAGCGGTCGTTGGGACAGCCGTAGAACACACGGGTGAGCCCTGAGGGTGGAGGGGGGAAGGGGAGGGAGGGGAGGAGGTGGGAGGGGAGCAGGGAGGGGGGGGGGGAGGAAGGGGGAGGAAGGGAGGGAGGGGAAGAAACACGCAGTGAGGGAGGAAGTTGGAACACTGAAGCATTCAAATAATTAAATGACAGGGTTGGTATGCAGAGGGGAGTTGGATTGGGAGGTGGGGTGGGGGCGAGCGGAAACAAGGGGGGAGAGTAAGGGCGGTTAAGACAGCTGGAGGGCAGACGCGGATGCCTGGGGAAAAGGGGTGGGAGGCTGGGGGGGGGAAGACGGGGGACGGAGGAGAATGGGGAGAAAAAGGGGGGAAAGAGGAAGGAGGCGGAACGGGATGAGGCGAAGGGGGAGGATGCAGGAAGGGGGAGGAGGCGGGAAGGGGGAGGAGGCGGGAAGGGGGAAGAGGCGGGAAGGGGGAAGAGGCGGGAAGGGGGAAGAGGCGGGAAGGGGGAAGAGGCGGGAAGGGGGAAGAGGCGGGAAGGGGGAAGGCGGGAAGGGAGTGGAGAGGTTGTGAGACAGAGGGGACGGAGGTCACGGGGATAAACAGCTGAAGATCGCATGGAAGAAAGGCCATGCAGGGGTGGGGGAGGGGAGGGGAGGAGAGAGAGGGGAAGGGGAGGGGAGGTAAAAGAGAATGGAAGAAAAAGGTGGACACTATTTCAGTAGAAAACGGGGCTATGATGCAAGAAACGCAGTAATTGCTGGCTCTGTCCCCCCCCTCCCACCCCTCCCCACCCCTCCCACCCCTCCCACCCCTCCCACCCGTCCTACCCATCCCACCCATCCCACCCATCCCACCCATCCTGTCCATCGTACCCAGCAGGGAGAGGGCACCAGCGCACATGATGCAGGGCTCACATGTCACAAACAGCTCGCTCCCCCCCACCACCTGCAGCAACCGACCGTACCGCTCCTCCTCATCCCTCCCGTCCTCCCAGTCGTCTCTCTCTCGCCCCTGCCGCTCCTCTGCCTCGTCCTCTCCCTCTCTCCCAGTCGTTCTCTCTATCTCTTTCTCCTCCTGCCCATCCTCCCTTTCTGCTATATCCCGCCCTTCCTCTAATCTCTCCCTCTCTCTCTCCCCAGCTGATCCCTGGCTGCCACGTGTCTCTGTGCCATTCGCTGCACCGTTCGTTGATGCTGCTCTTGGTGGGTCAATCGCCCCTAAGCATTCGTTAACCTGCCCGGGAGAAAGAGATTCCAGCAGCGAATCAACGGCCTCCATCTCAGCATGACGGGTTGCCTGACAAAAAAGAAAACAAAAAAAAACAAACAAACAAAGACCACAGGTTCTTTAAGAGCGTGTATCGTGCTGCGCCGTCCAAAGGCTTGGCCCTTGTTGCGGATTGTTGAAGGGCTACCTATCGTACTTGGTAAGGTGGTGGTTGAATCTTGGACGAGCGAAGGGACTGAGGTGTGAAGAGGTAGTAACGTTCAGGGGACAAGAGAGGAGAGAGAAGAGGAGCGAGGAGAGGAGAGGGGAAGAGAGTAGAGGCGAGGAGAGGAGAGGAGAGGGAAGAGGAGAGAGGAAAGGGGAGGGAAGGAAAGGAGAGGAGAGGAGAGGAGAGGAGAGGAGAGGAGAGGAGAGGAGAGGAGAGGAGAGGAGAGGAGATGGGGAGACGCACGTTTCTGGTTTCGTTGGTTCTATTGCTGCCTGCTGCTACGACTTTATTGTTGTGCACTATCACACAGCTGCAGGGAAACGGGTAAAAGAGAGAAAGAAGGAAATAAGGAAAGAAGGAAAGAAGGAAAGGAGGAAAGAAGGAAAGAAGGAAAGAAGGAAAGAAGGAACGAAGGAAAGAAGGAAAGAGGGAAAGAAGGAAAGAAGGAAAGAAGGAAAGAAGGAAAGAGGGAAAGAAGGAAAGAGGGAAAGAAGGAAAGAAGGAAAGAAGGAAAGACAAATACACAAGAGAACCGAGACAAGGAAGCGTTATCAGGGGGTAAGGTACATGAACATATGAACATACGAGGAGTGGGGATGGATGGAGAAAGTGGGGGTGGGAGGGCGGTTGAGGGGGACAGGGGGGAAGGGGGAAGGAACAAGCAGGAAGGGAAGCGAAAGTCGTGCAAGGGAGAGAGAGAAAACGATGGGAACAGGGACGGGTAAAGGAGATTGGAGGAAGGGGAAGGGGGCAGGCCGCAGGGGAGAGGGGGGAGAGAGGGGATAGGGGATGGGGGAGGGGTGGGGGATTGGTGAAGGGAGGCAGGGAGTGCGAGGCTGTTCTCACCCCACAGGGACTTCTAGTCTCGTCAGTGCAGCCTCCGCCTTTCCTTGCACGCACACACCGGCACGAGGGCACGAGGAGACGAGGAGACGAGGAGAGGAGCGCAGGAGGGCACGAGGGCATGAAGGCAGGACAGGAGGGCACGGGCGTATGGGAGGAGTATGGACACGCACCAGCATGCAACACGTCAGATGGCAGTTAGAGAGGAACAGGGGAGAACGAGGTGCGGAGGGAGGCGAATCACGAGCAGGGCGGCTGGTGATATCCGACAGAGGGGCGAGAGAATCGGAGCGGAGGGGAGAAGGGGGGACGGTGGAATGGGGAGGGAGCTGCGAGGCGGGAGAGGGGGAAGGGGGGGGGGAGAGGAGCGGAATGGGGCGGGGGGGGTGGACGATGGAGCAGCGCAGAGGAGAGCAGCGCGGAGCGGGAGGACATGTGCAATAGCTGAGAGGAGCGGGAGAGCAAAGAGTGCCACGTCATGCACCTGCGCGATGGCGAGGCGCATGAAGTGGACTCTCCTCTCGCGCTCCGAGGCAAACGGCGCGAATGCCGCCGCGTCTCCCGCCATGGCGCAAGGGGAAGCTGCGCTGAAGATCGAGATCGAATCCATCAGAAAGTTTGTGGGCCAGCCTCAGACAGCCCTCCAGGCAAACCGAATTCCGAGGAGCAGCACGTCCCAAAGAAAATATCGGAAAAACAATCATTTTAGATTCGTCAGGGATTCAACAAACCATCTCTGTGAAACTAAGAATGATCATTACCATGGGCATTTCTAGAGCAAGGGGCGGCAATGTCTAGACATGCTTTGCGGAAACTCGGCAAACAATCTCTAGGGTTTCACCTAACTTGACAAGTGCTATGCTGCGGGATTGCTTCCGGAATGAACAGTGACGATCACTCCTGGCTTTGCGATACACGCGTAGATTCGCGTTACCAGTGTTTTGGTTCGTTTGCTCTATAACAAACTCAAGTTTACCGATTCTAACTAATAAGTGACACAATCGGACAGTCACACCCCAATAGCCGAGGTGATTGTAGGCATTATCTCTGATAAGTACACGGAACCCAAACGTTACTCGCTAAACATAAATTGCATACTGTAAATATTCCGCTGTAGCGAGCGGACATAAACCCAGCAAAACCCTATGACAAAAAATCAGATGGCTACAGTGAAAGTACACTACCAAAACTACGGGTTTATCTCCACCTTCATATTTTGCAACAGATGCATAATAATCCCTAAAGGTTCTCATGCCACAATAATGAGTACCCTATATAAATGAATGTTAAGATTAGTTGGGGGCCTCCTAAATATATAAATATATATGTAGCCCGTACATAGATATCATAATGCGACTCCAGGCTACTAATACATATATTTAAAGCTGCGCGCAAATCAGCTCAGCCTACACACGGCCTGTCAGAATGTTATTCTCTAGCCTGTAGTGGGGTGCTCTATAGCGAGTACAACCCATCTAGGGTTTGCTATATGTATCCTCATTGCTGCTAGTGAACTCCTCCTCTTTTGCCTAAACTTCTCTTGCCTAGCTAGGACTTACCTAGCTATGGCTCCTAACTCTACCTACTATTTTCTCATGGTATCAGAGCATCTACGCTCCTGGCCTGTGGGCCCACCTAACTGCTTCCGCTGCTACTCTGTGTGTTGCACGCCCCGTGGCGTGCGACGGATTTCTCTTCCCGCCGCGCGCTCGGAGCGTGCGGCGGTTTTCTGCCCGCCGTGCGCCCCGGGGCGTGCGGCGGTTCTCTGCCCGCCGTGCGCCCCGAGGCGCGCGGCGGCCTTCTGCCCCGTCGGTCCGCGCGTCGCCCCCGGGGGGCGCTTCGACGGGCGACGGGGACCAGCCCGTCGTCCCCCGTCGCCCGTCCTGGCCAGCGCGGGCTGCGCTAGCCCCGAGCGCGGCCCGTACGGGCTGCGCCCGGCCCGCGCGCGGCCCGTACGGGCTGCGCCAGGCCCGCGCGCGGCCCGTACGGGCTGCGCCAGGCCCGCGCGCGGCTCGGGCCGCCTGCGCGCGGTTCGTCGGGCTGTGCCAGGCCCGTGGGCGGCCCGTTCCTCTCTGTCCCTGAGCTGTTCGCTGTCCCCCGTGCTTCTGACGGTGCCCCACCCCTGCTGCTGCCCGTTCTCCTGAATTAGGGTTTGGGGGTGAGGAGTGTGGGGGTGGCGGTTGTGTGTTACTCCCCTTGCTCCTCCTCCTCCCTGGTCTCCCACTGCTGCAGCTGCCGCTGAGGGGGGTGGGTGTGTGGGAGCCTAGGGTTTAGGGTTTTAGGGGGGTGCGTGGGAGTGGAGCTAGGGTTTGAGCAGTGGGTGTGTGTCGAGGATGTGGGGCAGTTGGAGGAGGTTGTGTGGAGGTACCTGTCGTGTCGCCTGCAGCGCCTGTAGTCCGTCGCCCTTGCTTCGGTAGCCAGTGAGCCTGCTGCACCAGTCGCCAGTGGGTCCGTTGCTCCTGCCGCTCTTCTATAGCCGCCGAGCCAGTTACTCCAGTAGTCCGTCGCCCTTGCTTCGGTAGCCTCTGAGTCAGCCGCTCCTGTGCCCGTGCCTCTGCAGCTTCAGTCGTTGCCTCCCATCTTCTCTACCTCCACAGCTCCTCCTCCTCCTCCTCACTTGCCCGCTGTGATTAGCTCTAGCTTTGCTTACCTTTGTGAACTCCTGCTCTATACCTGCTTGCTCATTGTAGTGATTACACCCCACTTTGTGTGAAGATGAGCAATAGAAGAAGGCGCCAAAGCTAGGAAAGCCCTAGCTAGGCAAGAAACAGTTTAGGCAAAGAGGGGTTGCACTAGCAAGAGTGAGGATACAAATAGCAAACCCTAGAAGGGTTGTACTCGCTATAGAGCACCCCACTACAGGCTAGAGCATAATATTCTGACACACCCCCATAGCCAAAGTGGGGTGTAATCAGCAGAGCAAGCAAAGCAGTACAAGCTCAGGGTGGATCACAATGTCACCACACATTCTGAGCACAAGTTCAAGAAGCAATAGTTTAAAGTTCACAATTATGAGCAAAGCTAGTGGTAGTCACAACGGGCAAGTGAGGAGGAGGAAAGAGACTATGAGAGGAGAGGAGGTAGTGGGCGGCAGCTGAAGCTGCTGGCACACGGCGCAACTGGAGCAACTGGCACACGGGCAACTGGAGCAACTGGCACACTGGCAACTGGAGCAACTGGCACACGGGCTACTGGAGTAACTGGCTCCGCGGCTAAAAGTAGCGGCAGACGAGCAACGGACTCACGGGCGACTGGAGCAACGGGCTCACGGGCGACTGGCGCAACGGGCTCACGGGCGACTGGCGCAACGGTCTCACGGGCGACTGGAGCTGCTGGCTTCACGGCGGCCACCCCCTTCAACCTCCCCAAACTATCCCACTCCCCCTGACACACACCCGCTGCTACACCGCTAGCTCCACTCCCCCTTCACCCCCCCTTAGTACCACTCCAACGGCTCCAACAAGTCCACCCCCCCTCAGCGGCAGCTGCAGCACAGGGAGACGGAGGAGGAGGAGGAGCAGGGAACGGCACACAGTGGCTTCACCCCCATACCCCTCACCCCCAAACCCTAATTCAGGAGAACGGGCTGTAGGAGGGGTGGGGCGCCAGTAGAAGCACGGGGGACAGCGGGGAGGGCAGGGGCAGCGAGGAACGGGCCGCCCACGGGCCTGGCACAGCCGCCCGAACCGCGCGCAGACGGCCCGAGCCGCGCGCGGGCCTGGCGCAGCCCGTACGGGCCGCGCGCGGGCCTGGCGCAGCCCGTACGGGCCGCGCGCTGGCCTGGCGCAGCCCGTACGGGCCGCGTCCGGGCCTGGCGCAGCCCTTACGGGCCGCGCGCAGCCTGTACGGGCCGCGCACAGGCCACGACGGGCGACGGGGGGCGACGCGCGGGTCCCCGTCGCCCGTCGCAGCGCCTCCCGAGGGCGACGCGGCGAGGGACGGGGCAGAAGCCCGCCGCGCGCCTCGGGGCGCACAGCGGGCAGAGAACCGCCGCGCGCCACGGGGCGCACGGCGGGCAGAAAACCGCCGCACGCCTCGGGGCGCACGGCGGGCTGAAAAAACCCTAATTTCGACGCCGCGCACCACGGGGCGCGCGGCGGACAGGGAGTAGCAGTAGCAGCGGAAGCAGTGAGGTGGGGCCCACAGGCCAGGAGCATATCGCTCTGATACCATGTGAAGATGAGCAGTAGAAGAAGGCGCCAAAGCTAGGAAAGCCCTAGCTAGGCAAGAAACAGTTTAGGCAAAGAGGGGTTGCACTAGCAAGAGCGAGGATACAAATAGCAAACCCTAGAAGGGTTGTACTCGCTATAGAGCACCCCACTACAGGCTAGAGCATAATATTCTGACACTTTGGCTATGGGGGTGTGTCAGAATGTTATTCTCTAGCATGTAGTGGGGTGCTCTATAGCGAGTACAGCCCATCTAGGGTTTGCTATGTGTATCCTCATTGCTGCTAGTGAACTCCTCCTCTTTTGCCTAAACTTCTCTTGGGGGCCTCCTAAATATATAAATATATATGTAGCCCGTACATAGATATCATAATGCGACTCCAGGCTACTAATACATATATTTAAAGCTGCGCGCAAATCAGCTCAGCCTACACACGGCCATGCTATTACCAGGGCTCGAGCATATATGTTAAGATTAGTTGGGGGCCTCCTAAATATATAAATATATATGTAGCCCGTACATAGATATCATAATGCGACTCCAGGCTACTAATACATATATTTAAAGCTGCGCGCAAATCAGCTCAGCCTACACACGGCCTGTCAGAATGTTATTCTCTAGCCTGTAGTGGGGTGCTCTATAGCGAGTACAACCCATCTAGGGTTTGCTATATGTATCCTCATTGCTGCTAGTGAACTCCTCCTCTTTTGCCTAAACTTCTCTTGGGGGCCTCCTAAATATATAAACATATACGTAGCCCGTACATAGATATCATAATGCGACTCCAGGCTACTAATACATATATTTAAAGCTGCGCGCAAATCAGCTCAGCCTACACACGGCCATGCTATTACCAGGGCTCGAGCAAATATGTTAAGATTAGTTGGGGGCCTCCTAAATATATAAATATATATGTAGCCCGTACATAGATATCATAATGCGACTCCAGGCTACTAATACATATATTTAAAGCTGCGCGCAAATCAGCTCAGCCTACACACGGCCATGCTATTACCAGGGCTCGAGCATGCGCTGCAGGGGCGGGCATAAGAGCCCACAGCACGAAACAGACAAAACATTGTCTCCAGATGCAGCAGCTGACGTTGAGGCTCGTGATTGGGTACCGTGCTCAGACATGCGCGTCATGGGATTTAGATGAGCGCGCTGCAATGCAAAGCTCTCACAACCAGCTCAGGTGCGCGGGGTGACTGTCGGGATGGCTGGCTGGTTTAGGGTTGGAGGAGTCGGAGAGAGATCATCGATGCCCGCATCAGAAATCAAGAAACCGGCCTCATGACGAAAACTCCAAGCGCGCCTGTCTGGATCCCACGTGGGACCCGCCCCCACGTTGCGGGTGAGGATTGCAGCACGCACCCAGCGCTTGACGCGCTCGTGGTACCAGCGAACACCCTCGTCGTTCTGGGGTGCGCTACGTGTGAG